GTACCTATGCACATTAATGGGTATGTCCCAATTCTCATAAATACGTTGAACGCTATTGTAAGTGGGAGTAAAAAGGTGTTTAAGTAGTCCACCACTAGTAGTGGTTTACCGACTTCACGCTGCTGGCGAGTATTGTATTTAGTTGATGTTATTGTTGTAACCTAGGGAAGGTTACTGAATAGAATATGAACGATAATACTTAGGACACGAACAACACATATAAGATTCACCAGCGGCGCGTAGACGTAGTCAACTGCTAGATGTGAGTCAAGTGAATTTCACAATGAATCTCCAACTGCAGGATATCACCAACTGCCTCACGCGGTCAGATGTGCCACAAGGTCGAATTTAACGTGAGGTCTCCGAGCCCGTACGCTCGGCGAAAAATTCCCCGTGGACCCCGTATAAAACGGAGTCGAGTAGCTGTTTCCCGAGACGAGACTCTATACTCTTCGACATAGTCTCGTCTGAAGATCCTATTTGCCCGGAGGCAGAGAGATTGACCAGCACAGCTGGAGATGAATCTCCGACTACAGACCATCATACAGTATTTACTACTGTATTTAAGCGAATAGGGGGCATAACGATTATCATCCGTAGGTATGCTACAACAGCTATAAAGATTAAGATTTTATTTCCAACCTCCGTTTTGGTTATTCCTCTTTTCTACCTCCCAACAACATTGCAGATTCTTCTTCGAGAATCGGGAGATGAACTTCAGGAACATCAGACCAAATATTGCACGGATGAATGGTAGATTTGTAAATGTACGACTGTATAGTGAGTTCGATCCTCCTTGGGTGCCTCATACTATTGGCCTTCTGCCGCATCTAATCTGCTCTTATCAAATCATCATAGCTGGGAGAAAAGATGGATTTATACCTTTATTTATTAAAGCCATTTTTTTTTTATGTTTAACGTTCATTTTTATAGATACAAGTATTTAAGTAAATGCTCTGTTTATAATAAACAGTATTAAATAACATTTACCGGCCTGAATGTCCGAGAAATTTTCATAGAAAATATTCGTCCTTTGACAGGATTCGAACCTGCATCCTATACGGAACCGTCATTTACGCTGACGTGCCTTAACCGACTCGGCCACAAAGGAGCGTTCGGTAGGCAAGGTCGAATATACTGCTTATAAACTTCAATCTTCCATGAATCTCGTACATTCATAACTGCTCTGGCGTATCAAATGTAAACAAATGACGTCATATATTAAGAAATGGACAAAGTCCGACAATTTATTTATTAAAGACATTTTTTTTATACCTTTCCCAAGGGTATTTGCGCGTAAGTGAAAGTAACAAACCCGACTGGAATTCGAACTCAGCTCTTTGATTTCTCAATCCGAGACGATATCCATTACATAACGAATCAAAAATGAATAACAAAATAAAAAAAGTTCCTACATTGTTCAGACTGTTGTCCTTATCTTTATTGTCATATTCACGACGTTTCGGCTCTTGTTCGCTACGGCCTTCTTCTAGAGTTGAAAAAAAGGGAAATAGCTGAAACTGGGATAGCCAGAAAAGGCATGTCATGTGGAATTAGAAAAAATCTACCAGTGATTTAACCCAAAGTGTTATGAGTTCAATATCTGGCTACTGCAGTGGCGGACAAAAAGTTGAGTTGAGTTAAAGGGAGATAACTGAGACTAACGGAAGAGACATGGCACGTGGAAATAGAACAATCTAATCCGGTGGATGAAATAAAGGATTCAGAAATTCGAATTTCCAATCATCTGAATAAGCCCGGAGCGCCCAACAGCCGAAACGTCGTGAATATAGCAATAAAGACGAGGACAACAGTCCGAACAATGTAAATAGTGTAAACAGTTGCAATTCCTCATCTTAGAAATATGTTAAAAAATGCTTCACCGAAGAAATTCTATCATTACTTGTAGTACCACTAATGGAATAAATATCAAAAGAAATTAAGATGAAAGAAATTCGTGTTAAAATGAATAATAAGTGACAATATTTAATCTAAGAATAAAAGCCTCTAAAATGTGTTTATTCGTCATTTTAATACTTTTTTCTTTTTATATACGTTCAGGGAGTAAGCGATCATGGCTCTCCACTTACCCCTATCTCTTGTAGCTCTCAATAAGTTCCAACCTTCTGCCACCCCCTAGACCACGATCTACCATCTACTTGCTTAAGCCCGTTGCTTTCCCTTGTCTCTCTTTCTCTTTATTCGACCTGTGAGTATCAGGTTCTTCAGGACCTCATTACGTGTTCTAGAAACTTCAGCTGCCTCTTCCTGATATTAAGTATAAGCCTCCTCCTTGTTTGCATCCTCTCTAAAACCTCATCGTTGCTTACACGCTCGGTTCATAATATCATCTGCATCCTTCTGTAGAACCATATTTCCGTTGCCTCGAGTCACTTCTTCATCTTTGAGGAGACCTTCCAACATTTGCTGCCGTATGGGAGGACAGATGTCACGTAGTAGCGCAGTACTCTTTTCTTTGTTACCAAAGAAATCCTCCTGTTTCTCCGTACTCTGCCCAGCATCCTTGGCCATCCAAATCCATCTTCGGATCTCTGCTACGCACTTACCGTCCTCTGTCAAAACACTTCTCAGATATTTAAACTTTCGCCCCTACTTGATTTTAGTGTCCCCGACCTGTAAATCCCATAAAAGCGGTTTTCTTTTAGACGATATAATTAAATATTTTCTCCTGGTTGGACACTAAGAAAAATTTAAACGTTTGTTGAAAATCTTTAAAGGTTAATATTTCTTTACAGAATAAATGTCGTCTGTTATTAAGATTAGAAAAGGTGGGAAATTAATCAGTCAATTCGAGTGTTGGCAGCTATTTTTATCTTGAAATCATATGATTCTTTTACCGTTGGGTGAAATCCTCGAAGTGAAAGAGTAAGACATCCATGTCGAAGCTGTCACCAACAGATAAGTGATGACGTCATCATCAAATATCAGGACTTTTTTTTTCAACCTCAACATCTTTTACATGATTACTGATTCATTTATTTACTTGATCTATTCTTTATAATTATTTTTCCTACCTATGCGCTCTAAATGAAGAAGAATTTATACAATCGCAGGATCGCGCCTTGTTGCTTGCTTTGCTATTTGGGGCAGCATGCTCATTTTGCTTGTTTCACTAACAATGTTCCGCCTTTGTACACTCCGGCCTGCTTCAGTGTATGTTTTATTATATGCCTTGCAATTTGAATTTATCATCATTTATTCAGTAACACAACTGTGGTTCATATTCATTCAAAGTAGAATAGTGCAGTGGCTTACTGAGAACTCGTGTCTCCCTTTGCAAGAGGGCAACTTCTTTAACACTTTCATTTTCATAGAAAAGATACTTGTCATTGTTATTGAAAATGAGATAATGGTAGTTTTCTCACTTGCACAGAGCTACTATGGCCGAGTGGTTAGAATGTTCGCATTCTGACCATGAGACCCGGGTTCGAATCTCACTATGGTCGATTTTGTTAGGAAAGAGACTTCCTGATGTTATCGGACTGAAGGGGACGATCCCAGCGTGTTTTGGAAAGTGGCTGAAAACTATACCACAGGTTGACCCAAGCTTTGTGAGTTAAATTGGGTAGACGGAACCTTTGGTCCCTTCTCTTACACGAAGTCACAAGTCATCGTGGCTGAGGGCTTGAGCGTGCTTGCCTTGTTCAATTTTTTTTTTCCCCAGAAACTGTAACTAAGGTCTGCTCAGCATAGTTGCAGTATAAACCACAGGTGGGCTCAGTGGGTGTTGAATAAACTCAAATGCGCCTGAACAAGCATTTACAATAGGGATTAGCTATCCGCCCCAGTAGACGGGTAGCCATATATATATATATATATATATATATATATATATATATATATATATATATATATATATATATACACACATACTAAGCTACATTAAAATTTACATATATTACATATATTGTGGCCACCCTATCCTTCCTCTTTGGAAGATGGATTTGTTTTTGAAGTTACCTTCTTCTAGACTTTGTCTAAAAAGAAATAGTTTCCTTCTCGTAGACTGGTTGCCAACGAAGGGGACGATCCCAGCGTGTTTTGGAAAGTGGCATATTTTACTCATAGCTGGAACCACGAGACATTACTCTACCGTGCCTCCAATTCGAATTACCAGGGTCATACAAGTTGTTATACTCACAAAGTTACATACTTTATCCTTCTTCAAGTGTCTGTTATATATCTTGCAATTCACATCAGCAAGCATATTCTTGTAGTTATACACACGACGTTTCGGTCGCTGCGGACTCTGGACTACTTCTTCAGGTGACAGCCTTCGTACTTTTAGAATTTATGGAAACTTAAAACCTAATAGGACAAGTTGCATTCGAAAATTGGCAATTATATATGTATATATGTTAATATGTATTCTGTTTATACGTTATTTTTATAGATATAATTTATTTAAGTAAATGCTCAGATGTTTTTTTAATTAAACATTTCTCCAACATTCAGGCCGGTAAATGTTATTAATATTGTTTATCTTTAAAAAAAAAATACAAAGCATTTACTTAGATAAATTATATGTATAAAAATAACGTATAAAGAAAAAATATATTAAATAAATGTCGGACTTAATCCATTTCATAATATGTTGTCATTGTTTACGTTAAGATACGTTTCGTGAGCAGAATAGAAGGATCGACAAAAATCTTCGATGGTGTGTGTTTATAAAGAGTAATTCGGACTTTACAATTCAGACGCTTCTCTGTAGCTGAATGTTTAACAGCAGATCAGATCAAATGACAGTTCCCATAAGGGTTACAGGTTCGATTCCTGTCGGAGAGCGGATATGTTCTAAGAAATTTCTCGAACATTCAGGCCGGTAAATGTAATTAATACTGTTTAATTTAAAAAAAAACAAAAAAAAAAAACAAAAAAACAAATAAATTATACTAAATAAATTATATCTATAAAAATAACGTATAAACAGAAAATATATAAAATAATTATGAGATAATCCATTTCATAATATATAT